GGGACAAGTCACGGGAGCTCACTCCGTTACGCAGCGCTAGGGATTCGAACCGCCGAACTCCCGACCTTTCTGATTGACGAGCTCAGCGTCTTAGCCACTGAGCCACCGCATAATCTATAGGTTACAATAATGAGCATTTTAGGTTGAAAAGGCTCTTATTTCCAAAAATATCTGTGATTTTTTTCTACAACTCTCTCTTTGAGACGTATTATATCCTCTGCTAACACACACAGACGCAGAAACCCACATTGCTTGTTTGATTTGTTGAGAGACAAGACATTTCTTTGGAGTTTTCCAGCTCATAACATGGATTACGAATGGAAGGACTTTGTATCCTAGAAACCTTAAGCCTTTGCTAAATGTATCTTCAAGGTTTACCGTGTTACGTAACGCTTATTTTTATCTTTTTACTAACATTACTGCAGTACTCTGTGCATCAGGTGAGCATTAAGATCGAAAGCTGTCGTTCTGTGTTAACTACAGGTAATCTTGAACGTACTACGACAACTGAGCCCAAAATTTCTGTTGCTAAGTGAAATATTTGTTGAGTGAGTTTCGCCCCCATTTCACGGCCTTTCTTGCCACCGTTGTTAAGTGAATCGCTGCAGTTGGTAAGTTAGTCGTAAAATGGGGCAAAACTTGCTTAACCAATTTTTCACTGAACAACGTACATTTTGGGCTCAATTGTGTCCTAAGCTGAGGAATATCTGTACAGTACATTGACACTTTTAGTCAGCAGAGAAATAGTTAATATTTCCTTTCTGTTTCTCCCTTTGCTCCTGTTACTTATTTTTTTTTTCCTAGCACTTACACCTGCACAAACATTCTTGTTACAGACTTCAGAGGTGCAAATAACCTTAAGTGGTTACTCGAGATAAAAGTTATGGAAAAAAAAACCCTGAACAGGCAGCTGATAATTTCAAAGAAAAAAAATAACTTATTATATATTGCTTGCCCAGACTAATTTCAGTTTATAGAAGCTTTTCTCCCAATGCATTAAAACAGCAGTCACAGCTTCTGGGTTAGAATAATCTTATTTTTCTTTCCAAAAGGATATTTTTTCTCAAAGAGTCTATGAATAAGCCATTGTTATCATGGGGGGGTAAAAATGGTTTGTTTGTTTGTTTTTTAAATGGGACTTTTTCACACACT